ATTTAGAGAAAAACATAGTGACATCTATCGAATGACACACATGTTGCCACATAGTGGCAACTATCGAAGGACAACTGTAGGAATTTTGTGTATGTAGAATTATAATTTATATAGATTATTGAACTATATACATTAATTCTATGTACAAAACTCGTATACGCGAGAAGAATATTATAGTCTTTTTTTGATATGACTTTTTTCAATTTTACTTTGATTAAATATGACTAGATAAGACTTTTTTTCAATTTTACTATATTTTTATTAGGAATAGACCGTCAGTAAGGTCCATCTCGCTGAGGAATACAGTAAATTTCGTTAAAAACTAACAAGTGTCTTAATAACACATTAAAAAAATCTCCTAAAATCCATTCCTAAAATCTCTAAGTAGTACATATGAAATGAAAGGATAGTGAATTACTGCAGAATGTCAATCTATTCTTCGGTTACAAAATCCTGTAATAATCTTTTCACTACGAAATTCTCTCCATGCAGTTGTCACTTTACCACCACCATGTCTTTTTCTCTGAATGTATGCAAATGTCCGCGTGTTGAATGCGTCGATAAAAACGACCGACTTAAAAATATAAATGCATGTCCTACGCGTACTTGATAAATCGTAGCGACGGGTCGCGCATGCGAATGGTTACGACAGCCCTTTGAAGAAATATGACTAGCGGGTTCGGAAACTGTCGGGACAATGAAGTCGCTCGAGTATCTGGTATAAGGGCGGCGTGTATCTGGATACAGCTGGAAGAACGTTTTGTCGAGAAGTAATCGGACGACTGCGAAAGAAAGAGAATTGCGTGACGTCGCGAAGACACGAGAAGAAGGAAAGGATGAGAACACACATCTAACGACGATCATCGACACGGGGAGAAAGGTCGGCCGTGATTCCAGTATTTCCAGTATTTCGGGTGTCCCGCGGCGCGGCGACTCGATCGCCAAATCGAACTACTTCATTAGCGACGAGCCGTAATCACGATAACCGGGAAAAAAGTCGACAAAAAGGGACGATCGTTGACAATTAATAAAGAACGGCGTATCGTGGACTTGCCACCGGATTGCGCCCGAGGCTAGTTAAAAGGACGAAAATATCAGCTCCTGAGCGATATAATTTAGAAGCAGCAGCGGTGCGCAGCACAGACATTCCTGTATACTTTGAGGCTCAAATAAGAATCTGATCTCTTACTCACTCTCATTCGCTCTTTTTCTCTATCCTTAACACTAAAATTACCGACAATTAGCGACCTGTTTCTATCAGGACGATTAAAATGACAGAATTTTTTAAAAAGTGCGTAATGTGTATTTATTCTTTTTAGTTTTATGTGCAACGTCAACTATATAAAAATATAAAATGCACCGTATTAAATTGGAGCAATTTTTATAAGAAATTACAAGTCCATCATTTTTATTACTTTGGTACTATTAAGAGAGAATATCATGCTTAAAAACTTAGCGGCAAAATACTAAAATTTTTTTACAAAATTTATTGATTGCATAGAATTACAAATATGTTGATGAAAGTACGTGCAAAATGAATTGAAGCATTGCTCAGTATGTGACGAAAACTATAAGAAATTTTAATGAAAAGAATTTGTTTGAGGAAGTTTATGAACTCTTCGTTTCTTTCAAAGAGAGAACTCGTTTTCCAATGCTTCCATTGGATAAAATGAATAAGTTCATAAACTCATCCCAAAAGTTACACACAATCTTTTTATCCGTGATTATACAAAAAATACTCAAAAAATGATTGTGTCAGTGCTTATTTGATGTTATGACCTCTACACTGAGAAAGGGAATGATTGATCTAACTAAAATTATTTATTTTAATTAGTTATTTTTATATATAACCATATTTTTTTTCTTTGGTTGTTCCCATATGAAAATGGCAGTAGTAAAATGCATATAAGGTTATTATCACTATATTATAGCAGAATAGCAGAATTTAACAAAAAAGAAATAGTTTATCTATGTGAATATATAATTATTTATCCATGTGATTATAGTTACAAATATCAAACATTTTTTTCTCAGTGTACGTTATCAACCTTTTTGAAGTTCGTCATCCACTTTGGCATTCCCTTAAATGGTGTTTGTCCTTACGTAAATAGGTCCCGATACATTATTCCATAGCTAACTTGAACACAATAGACCTCCTCCCGTGTATGTACATCCTCAGCTTCTCTACCTAGTATCCGGCCCCCGCTTCTATCCTGTCAAACATTCCCACGCTTAATACTCACCAGCGCGCCCGAGGAAGCGCACGCGGTGTCACTTTAATAAAACGGGAGCAACGAGGTCCTTCCACCTTCCGTCGTCGCCACGACGGGATGTCTCTGACCGCTTTCGTGCACCGCTGACGTACCGTCAACGCGTCCTGTTTGCGGTCCTCGACGGCCTTTCACCGATATTTACTCGTGGGCCTTGTGGGCCTCAAGATTGCCCTCGAAGACATCTCGATGGATCGTGACTCGGCAGTGTCTCGTTTTTGTTTGCTACGCCGGGCTTTTCCGACAAAGGGCCCGGTGCTTCGTCTTCCCTCTACCCGGGCGCACTGGGATTATACTCGAGAGGATTCCCAGTTGTTTACGCTAATTTTTGTGCTTTCTTTTGTATCTACGGGCGCCCTCGCTAAGTAGGGTACCCCAGAAGAGAGCCGCGAAAATTAGGATTAAATTTAAAGTCAAATCCAGAGACGGTTCTCTAAACTTGGCCCTCTGACTGCGGGGTTAACTATTTGATCTGATGAACTCAAATACATAAAACTCGCGTGTAGAAAAGAAATAACGACGAATTCGATGTTCATCGAATCACGTCGTTTACGTTCTATCGCTAAATCTGTAGTTCGTTAAGGTGACGATTAAATGGTTTGTAAGTGATCACACGAGACAAAGACGCTCTTATGGGACAGTTTATGGCAACATTGAAGAACAGAGACATACTAAGTCAAATGCTTTCTCTGTCACACTTATTCCCGAAGGAAACAGTGTATGAGAAACAAAAGAGAGAGAGAATAAAACAGTAAAAGAAAGATTCTCATAGACCATATTTGATCTCTTCTTTCCACTAACTAGACAAGGAAAGCATATTATACTTTATTGCCCTTTCTTACTAATGTTGACTTCATCCCTCCTTTATTGTAGCTGTGCTAGAATAAATCCAACTTGCGGAAGTAGGCAATAATTTTCATGCGCAACTTGTGCGTCCGCATGTCATTTTTCTCAGACTTTATACGCGCGCCCCCAAGGGCAAGAGACCCACGTGTCCTCCGCTCCGTCAAGAAATACCTCGCGTTACTTAACAAGTGTACTCCACCGTACCCGTATGAGATCGCTTTTATAGACTCGTGCTTTGAGGTAGCGTGAAAAACACATAATCCCTCAAAGGACCCTCCCGACCAGATCTTTCGTAAATGTGGAAAGGGTTGGGCCAGGTGAAAAGGTCCGTGGTCTATTAGCCGGCGAGGAAGGGGTTCGTTGGATTTTTTTTCGAGAGAGGCATTTTCTGGGTTCGTGCACAAACTGGATCCGAACTCTTCGCGCATCGAGGCAGACGGAGAGCGAGAGAACGAGAGAGAAGGAGAGAGAGAAGAGAGCCCTTAAGAGCGGAAGACGCACGCCCGCTGGCCCGTCGCACGATGTAGGTGAACCATGCATAATGTCGTGGCCACATTACCTTTCGGCGACAATCTGCTGCCCGTCCTTCTCTCTTGCTCTTTCCATCCAGTCCTTCTCGCACGACCCCTTCGCCCACCTTTCGTATTCATCTCGTTCACTCTTTCGCAAGTTCTCACTCGTCCCTCTTTCTCTCTCTCTCTCTCTCTCTCTCTCTCTCTCTCTCTCTCTCTCTCTCTTTCTTCAGCTGACGCATAAACGCGTTTATGCGAGTGTTTACGAAAAAGAAAGCGAGAGAAATGTCGAGAGCAAGAGGAAGGATACTAGAAGGAAGGAAGAAGGGAAAAGAGTGGTTTTAACAAAGGTCGGTCTGCCACGCACAGCGCGACGACAGCCAGCCATTGACATCGGTGGGTTCTGGGTAAGGAGGACTAGATTTCACGAGCCAACGATGCAAGATCCTTCAAAGGACGCCGACGGGTTGCCGCAAAAAGGATTCGCAAAAAAAGGACGAGGTCGGGAAAAAGAGACAGAGAACCACCGTGGACGCAGAAAGGGGGCAGTCTTCCTTAGTTAATACTGGCTTCCGTGCGCCCTCTTCGTCGGAGAGAGAAAAGACGAGAGAGCGAAGGGGGCCAAGGGGGCAGGCGGTCGAGGCTAATAGAGAGGAAGAGGATGAATAAGGGAGCGCGAAGCCGTAGTTGGGGGGAAAGCGGGGAAGTAGAGAAAGAGGGCAGAACTACTTGACGGCGAAATCCATCGCGATAACTTAATCCCAGGATTACATAGCGGTAAGAATCCGCACGGAAATCCGATCCAGGCGCGCGCGCCTGACAGCATCTCCTTCAGGGATGCCGTTTTCAAGGAACGCAACTGCTCCGTTTCCGGTTTCTCTCGGTCTCGATCTGCCTCTTCGCTGCTCTGGCGTGCCGATTAACGCCGAGGATTATTATTATTCGGACACGAAGCCAAGCCGCCGGTAACCACCTTTCGGATCGCAACGCAAACCACTAACGCGTTTTATACGCAAAAATATCAGGTTTCGATAATATTTCAGTTTTGGGGCAACTCACTATCCATGTGTGCAGAATACCGAATATTGCACCGAGGCTCGATATATCGGTTCAATTCCACTTTTATTCCATCGATCGTCATCGTCATCGCGGCAGGATTCATCCGTGAACGAGGAATCTATCTTGTATCTTGCATGCACATATTATTATATCCGATCATGACCGGTTCGCGACGCGATTTAAATCGAGCTTCCCTGACGCGTGCGCGCACGCACGCCTTCAGGCAGATCTTCCGAGTTAGCGATTAATTGCAAACTAAAGGAGTAAGCTTAGAGGCTAGTAAGTAAGTAATTGTTTGGTTGGCGTTACGTACAGTACTTACAAAGCCGTGCTTGTCGCTGATGTTGTTGGTGAGCTTGAGTTTGTGGAAGCTCACGACCTTCTGCATCCACTGCTCGCCACTACTCGGCGAGTCCGGATGTATGTACATCCTCTTCGGCATTTCCGGATCCGCCTTACCCGCTACCATCCACCTACTATTCGCAACACGCAAATAAAAATGCATTAGAATGTTGCTGGATACGACACGCCGCGGGAAACTACAGAGTCCTTGAATCAAAGACTGACCATGAGTTTGATTGGTCCGTCATGTCTCGCCAACTTCCGCTCATACTCAAATCTCAATAATTTCACGAATTTTATATTTCAACAAGACAGACAAAAAGTAAACATCTAAAAAAACTTGAATAATATTTTTTTATATAAAACATCAAAGTAATACTAAAAAAATTTCTCGTATTAAATGTATTTTTCTACGTGGAACATTCCGTGCCCACAGAGTCCAATGTTCAGAATCTCTTGACATAATCTTTTTAGTATCTTCATGACATAATCTCTCGATGATGAATTATTGCAGAACAGTGCTGCACATTTATCCATTTTTCCGATAAATTTAAATGTATACATTATACGATATACCGATATAATATTGGTAATTGTGGTTACAAGTTTCACAGCACGGTAATGTTATGCGCTTGCGTGAGTGCGTTAGAGCAAACTAGGTTGATGAGGGATATATGATGATGAATATTTTACCTTCACGATTTTGACAGTATCGTTCTTACGACCAGTCTCTGATTCAAGGATCTCTACGTGAAACGTGACGCCGCGACAACGAGGATCGCACCCCGCGATTGCGATTCTCGTCGTCACTCGGGACTCGAATCGTCGGACGAACGGAAACGCAGACCGTTGAAAAGGAATTTCGCTCGATGGACTGTCATTTCAACGCTGGCTCTTGATGCTGTATTTAATTTAATTTCCGCTTCTCGGGGAAAGAATTCTACGAAAGTCATTTCATTTATATGCCATCTGCTTATCCAAAATACACGAGAGAAATATCCGCATAAATCACATTGTAATTCATCTCTTTGACTGAATTTTTTACTTGATATCTTATACATCTAGATTCTCTCTGTCTTTCTCTCTCTCTCTCTCTCTCTCTCTCTCTCTCTCTCTTTCTTTAAGGCTGTAATTTGGATCGGGGAGGAGTTGACCGTGCTTCCGATAATCGAACAAATCCTAACAATTTCCTCGTGAGGTAATGGTAACCTCCCTGCCCATGCATCTTTCAACACAAGTGACCAAGCCAGCGATGATCCGGGACGAGCCGAAAGGAGGATCGAAGTGACCCTGTTCCTCGTTGGCTCGAATAGTTTCCCCGGTCGCGAGCGTCAATCGGCGCGATTGTTGTCTTTTAAGGGAGGCGTGTCCGTCGTTCGTAGTATTTCTCATCGTCGCAGGTGGGTCAAACTCGAGCGCGAGGGATCGTAGGAAGAACTCGTTCGACGAGTTCCAAAGTGGCTGCGGTCGCCGGCGTGATGTAATCGTTCGTTGTGGTCTGCGTTTCGATTGTCCGAGCGCCGATGTCCGAGATGCCTCGCGAGAGTTTACTCGAGTTGGAGAGCGCTAATCGCTAATCCCTCCGTCAGCACGCATCGCGATTCGACGTCTGTCGCGACGGAGTTTTGCGCGACCATTGAAAAATGTGCGGGAAGGACGTACGCTTCACCATGCACGGAGAAAATAATCTAGTAAAAATTATGGTAAAATTACATATTTTTTGCAATGTTTTTCGTAAAGCTGAACTATACCGAATCGTAGTATAAATTACTATAGGAATAGTGAATTTGACAATCTACAATAACAAAAAATGTTTTGCTGGTAGAATTCTAAATGTCACAGCTATTTTGTTTGTATCTGCTAAAAAATTTAGATCGGTATGAAGATAATACACTTTCTCTCTCGTCGCGTTATTTTGGTCTATCATGATCATTTTTATAAGAAGTGTGGCTGGCTAGTTGGGTGCCACAGACTTTCTTACTAAATTTCACAAATAGTTCCAAAAAATTTTGTCTTCCTTTATATTTATTGAATATAAAATATACACGATATCGCAGTGTTTGCTGGTCATTTATTCATCAGCAAATTTCTTTTATCTAGATAATTTCCGTTGTGACTGCAAGAGCACTTTTTTAAATATACCTGTCATATAACGTAAAAAATTATTCGAGTAGTTATAATAATTTTATAGTAAGGTCAAGCGTGTATAACATTTTTAGGCAAATGTATAGCAATTTCGTTCGTAACTTTGTATGGTCCAAGATTACAAAAATTTTGTTATAATTTTTACTACGATATTTTTTCCGTGCAGTTGCGCGAACGTTGGATATGATGCGAGAACTTTAAGTGAAAACTAATAAAAACTACCGAAGAACTTTCTCGTTAACCGCGAATTATAATACCGAACATCAATAATCGCGAACGCGCCGTATATATATATATATA